CCTGCAGGGACCAGCAGGGACCAGCAGAGACCAGCAGGGACCAGCAGGGACCAGCAGGGACCAGAAAGGACCAGAAGGGACCAGCAGAGACCAGAAGGGACCAGCAGAGACCAGCAGAGACCAGCAGAGACCAGAAGGGACCAGCAGAGACCAGCAGAGACCAGCAGGGACCAGAAGGGACCAGCAGGGACCAGAAGGGACCAGAAGGGACCAGCAGGGACCAGCAGGGACCAGAAGGGACCAGCAGAGACCAGAAGGGACCAGCAGGGACCAGAAGGGACCAGCAGAGACCAGAAGGGACCAGCAGGGACCAGAAGGGACCAGCAAGAGACCAGAAGGGACCAGCAGGGACCAGCAGGGACCAGCAGGGACCAGAAGGGACCAGAAGGGACCAGAAGGGACCAGACGGGACCAGCAGGGACCAGCAGGGACCAGCAGAGATCAGATGAAAGATGAACAGGATTAAAGCCTGCACAGAAAAATGAACTTCTAAGGAGAATAACTAACACAACTAAACTCTGAGTCCAGTATGAGGGTACAGCCCAGAGCGAGGAGTCTCCTCCTGCAGCAGTGTCTGATTGGTCACATGAAGGGCCCTCTGATAAAGAGCCACAGGAAACACTCGCACTCGTCAGTGACCTTTCACGGCTTACCTTCAATGCGGGCTGCCGCCTGCAAGGGCACCGACATGAAGGTGGAACAGAGCCGAGTCGGTGCTGGAGTAAGGAACAGGGGCGAAGGCGTGTGTGATCTTTAAAGGGAGTCTTGTGTACTCGTTCATAAAAGGTGTTCACAAACACCTACGTGTGTCAGCAGGTATACGCAGGTATATTCAGTCCTCCTAGCAGGTGTGATTCTGTTCTGGACAGAAACCGGCTTTATTCCATGTGTTATAAATAAATATAAACTGAATATAAGTCCTTATATGAAGCCCAAATAATCTGAAAATATTGACTTTGTGATACTAATTCAACTAATTGAGAGGGTTTTCATTATAATGAATCTTTTTCTCCGTCACACTGGTAGAAATGGACTTTTATATAATAAGACTGAAAACGACCTGTTTTCTGTTGTTATTGTTTTTATTGTCTTATTTCAGACCGACAGTGAATACCACAGGGGACATAAATCCTCCCCAGCGGTCCAAACAATAAGAAATAAATGAATAAAATGGCCTGGCTGCAGTAAAAGAGGAACTATAGCTTCAGCTTCCTCTCGGTCTCAACCAGCTGACAGCACGAACCCACTCTCTACAGGACATTAAACAGCCGCTGTAGCTCTTCCCAGTTCCCGCCTTCAGCAGTGAAACCCGCCTCTGATTGGATGAAGTCATGAGCGGAACTCCCCTCCGGCGGTTGCTATTGGCTGCCCGGACTGTCACTCACCGCGCTGACAGCTCGCCAGAGGAACAGCGGCAGATAACGCTGTTCTTTCCCTCCGTGGGAACGCCATTAAAACGCGTCGCGGAGCGGGGAAGTCGTTAAGCTCGCTTACAAAAAGTCGCACAACTCACCTGCTAACGCGTTTCACCGTCGTTGTCTGTGAAATCCGCCATACACCGACACACACTCAACTTTTACAAGTTGCCCAGGAGACTCTCTGCCCCACCTTGTGCTCGGGACTCAGCCAAAGATCGTGTGTGTCCGACGAGAGGAGCCACTCTGTAACCGATGAGGGTTCAGCTGGCGGCCGGTGCTAGCGTTGACGTTAGCCGTTACCACGGCGACGGATTTAGCGGTTGCCTGAAATATAACCGCAAATAACGGTTTTAAAAAAAAAAAACAACAACAAGTGTCCATGCTTTTGACATTGTGGGGATTTATATATTTATTATTTGCCGTGAAATGCGGCTCCTCGTCTTCTTCAGCACCGCTCACGGACTGAAGACGGCGGGAAACAGACACAGAGTGACACATCTCACCTTTTGTCTCCTCTCGGGACGACGGTTGATAACGTTAACAGGAAGTGACGTCACGGAATTCCGCGTTTTCCTTATTTATTTATTTATTTATTTATTTATTTATTTACTTATTTAAACAATTTAAAAGAAAAATAATATATAAATAAAAATAATATAGATCATATAAAAATAGGTAACACATAACATTCATGTGTAAGTGCATGTTATTTATTTATTTTTATATGACATACCAACAATTTATTATAATATTTTTAAAAAAAATAATCAAATAAAATAGAATAAAAATTCACAAATCACAAAAACTGTGTGCAGTGGATATTCACTACGTGCATAAAATAAATAAATATAAAGCTAGTTAACCCTAAACAATTAAAACTGCTCATTATTTTTTTCCTTTTGGATAATTTGATTCATTATGTCTAAAAATGCATCAGAGAAAAGAGAAAAATGTCCCTCATACTTTCCCAGAGACCGAACACAGATTAAAAATGCAAAAACAATTGTTGATGAGGCCAAGTGCAGACAGTTTGTTTTATCTAATAACCAGCTCCTTCTCATTGTAAGGGAACAAAAACAATTCCTATATTCAGGTGATTATACACTAATGAAAACATACCTATGAATATTATAGTATATTTCTGACAATATATCCTCCATAATGTTTTACACTGGAGCTTCAAGGATGAGAGAGGGCAACAAAAGGAAGGAAGTTATCACATATTTCACAACATCTTTACTTTCACCACAGCTCCTCCTTTCAACCCTCATTATTTCAGTGTCAGTCGTTGCTTTTGTCCCCAGCTTTTCCCTTTTTGCCTCACTAAAGTTCCAACTTCAACCTTTCTGTGTCTCCTCTTCTAGTTTTTCATGTATTCAGTAATGGAAACTGGATGGAAATGTTGATGTACTTTGATTTCTACAACTAAAAAGCTGCAGCTGACGTGCACTTCCAGTATTTGGAACAAGGATGGCGCCATTTCATCATCTTTGCCCACTGCTGCTCACACACACACACACACACACACACACACACACACACACACACACACACACACACACACACACACACAGTAGATCTGTGACTGACCATCTACATCCAAATGACCTTCGAGTTAGAGAAGACCTGTTTCAGTATCATATTTAGTGCCGTTGGAAACCTCAGTAACTCAGATTCAGTGGACTGTGAATGTATTCTGTCACAATAAGTTGAATCTAACGGGGTCATGTGAGGGGAAAAACAGATCCGACCTGTTTTCTTTACACCTCCTGTTGTTTTGCCGTATGATAATCACCAGCTGAAAGGTCAAAGGTCACCTCTGCAGCCGGGTGTCTCGTGTTATGACGAGGCTGATTTGGTTTGGAGTTTTTACTAACAAATGTTGTTGTCCGGACGTCCTGCCATGTCAGCTCATTACTCTGAGCTGTTGCAGAGAAAGGCTCTTTACATATGTGGACGTCTTTCCGAGGTTTATAAGTAGCTAAAACACTTCAGGGATTGGAATTGAGAAAGTAACACTGATCTGCTGTCGTGTTCAAGGACTTTTATATCAGCATCTTATCCTTTAAAATTGATTAAAGGCGTCCACATACTTTTGGCCAGGTCTTTACATACAAATGTTCGACTCAATTACACTGTAACTTAACTTCACGTATCACCTATCTCTGTAATTGGGTTATTTTATCACTTGAATCAGCCACAACAACAGAGCTTCACCAAACTCCATTTGGAAATTGACCGTTTTTACAGAAACACACTAAAGTGCCTTAAAAAGTCACCAATAAACAACACAGACACACTGGAAGTCTGATCAGAATATTAAAGCAACGCTTCAGTGACACTATAAGAGACATATATAGCTTTAAAACCACCACTTATACACAAACACCATAACGTGTTACATTACTACAGTACAGAGGAAGGTCTGGTATTCAAAAATATAACGAAATACAATTTTATACACAATCAACTGAGCTGGAAAGTAACTAAGTACTGTACTTTACTTGAGTATTTCTATTTCTGCTACTTTTCTACTCCACTATATTGCGTATTAATATTTTATGCACAAAAACATACGATCACTTTATAAAATATGATACCTAGATACAGATTAAACTACACAAAATGACATTAATAATTTAAAACTCGCTCCACCTCCAGCTTTAAACATTCCAGTGCTGCTTTTACTCTAACAATATTCAACCTGACAAGCAATAATACAGGTAATGTAATAATAAAGTGGTAACATTTGTATTTAAAATGCATTAAAGGTGGTCTTACTTAATCAGATAACTTCTGTTCACTCATTTTAAATAAATAACTGAATGAATTTAGTCAAATTATCTTAATTTAACAATAAATACCTGAGTTATTTAACATCATTCTTTATGCTAATGTGACAGAGAAAAGTTAGTTATTATAGTGAGAAACGTTCTCAAAGTATTAACTTAGTATCTCAAAAGTCAAAGTATTGATAAGGTTTCTCATTATTTTGACTTAACAGGATCAATGGGCTTCCGTAGATTTTACAGTGTAGTTTTATTGGTGCTTTTTCTCCTCTGCCATAAGTCCCTTCAGGAGTATAATGTAGTGCAATATGAATCCCTTGAGGAATAATTCAGCACCGCCTCCCCCTCTCCCCCCCCCCCTCTCTCCTCATTGGCCCCCCCCACTCTCCCCCCCCACTCCCCCCATCCTCTCTCTCCTATATAAAAACTTTTGGCTGTGTGGCGGCTCTCGAGTCTGCAGACGCCAGCATGGAAACCCTCCTCGGTGCGCTTACTGGCACACCTCCCTCTCCTCCTCCTCCTCCTTCTCCTCCTCACCGTCCTGATTGCACATCGGCACTCCGGCAGCAGCACAGCGGGAGTCACGACCCAGAAATACATGAAGAGAATTAAAAGAGTGAGGATGCTGATGAGCTTTTCTGAGCAAAAAACAAAATGATGGATTGAACTTTTAAAAATGTCCAAGCGGGTATTTTTTGGATTCCTCTCGGTTTGTGGAATATGTTGACTTCCAGCTGGGTTGATGCTGACTGATGAGACCATGACACGTTTCCTGCTGCCGCTGCTGCTGCTGCTGCTGACAGAGGTGATGCTTTCTGTGTGAGGTTGCTCCAAAAACTCTCAAAGCGCAAAAACACAAAGTCCCCAAGAACCGGAATAAAGAGGACCCTGCTTCCCGTGTTTGACAGGCTGCTGAGACTGACCAAAGACATCCATAAAACGATGTAATAAAAACAGCTCCTGCACACGCTTCTTCTTCTTCTTCTTCTTCGGGTGATTGGGAATAAAGCCGCACCGACTGGCGTCAGAGCCGAGCCGTTACGCATGGAGACAGCTCGGCGCTGAGCGGATTTTTGTTGCCTGTTCTGATTTCTTTTTATGATTTTAACTCTGACAAAAGAGGGGAAAAGGGTTATTCTACTCCTTCTCGAACAGAAAATGAGTAGCTGTCTTTTCCGACTAGCACTCTTCGTGGCTTGCGTCCTCTCCATCCGCTGCACCGCTGCGCCCGGGACCGAGGCGGAGGCGCACACGGCGTCCCGGGATACCTGCGCGTCCTGCGGCGTCGCTCAGCCGGAGGACCCCGAGTCGGGCCGGCTGAACGTGGACTTCCTGGAGGCGGTGAAGAGGCACATCCTGAGCCGGCTGCAGATGCGGGAGAGGCCCAACATCACGCACCCGGTCTCGAGGGCGGCCATGGTGACGGCGCTGCGGAAGCTCCACGCCGGGAAGCTGCGGGAGGACGGGAGGGTGGAGATCCCCAACCTGGACGGGCACCCGATGAGCAACGACGTGCTGGAGGAGAGCTCGGAGATCATCAGCTTTGCGGAGAAAGGTGCGTGATGGAGGCTCGCTGCGCACATTCAGGCGCGTTTTGATGCAGAGAAGTGACACAAATGTGACATTTATGACGAGAAGGTTTGAAGGTTTAGACTCATTTTCTCAAAACAAACCACTGTAGTGGCAACTTATTTCAGCCAGATTCAGAGAAAAACAAAAGATTTTCAGAGAGAAATTTAAAGATTTTGTTCAGAAGATATGAGTCAGTTCAACCTGGGAGAGATTATGAAGGAGAAGAACACAGAAAAGACAGTTTTCCCCTAAAAAAAAAAAAAAAGAGCATCCACTTATCATCCACTACTGGAGTCAGGTTATCAATAAAAAAACTGTCAAATTGAACATGACTGTGCTTTGAGCCGGTTGTAAGCTTTATGAAATCCAATATGTGAACTGATATCTGAGGCCTGATGCTGCAGGGAGGGTGTGTGTGTGTGTGTGTGTGTGTGTGTGTGTGTGTGTGGGGTGGGTGTCTTTATAGAAAGACTGAATGAGAAACTACCCCGGTAACTGATGCTGAACAGATGTTGATGCAAGGGTCTGAAAACCCGCCAAAATAAAAGCACAAATATCACTTCCCAAAAGCTGCATTCATTCAACAACTACACTTTGTCACTTTGTTGGCCCCCTGAAGTCAGGAACAACTGTCCAGTAGCAAGTGCAGATTCAATTTAACATCTTGTTTGGTTTGACAACTTAAGAATTAAAGTTTGTGACATTGCAGGAAGCTTTTCGTTTGTGCTTTCTGTTAACAAACTTTGGAACGATGATGATATCGTGAAGAAGGAGAAAAATGGCAAAACATTTGAATGTAGTTTGGTTGGTGGTGAGCTGATTAGATTTTGTGGTTTCTTTCGTTGGCTGCGTTCATGTGCTTGAGACAAAAGTTGGCTTCTCCCCCAGTGTTCACTGTCCTAAAAGAAACACACACACAAACATGAACTTGGGCAGCTCTGCTCGGTGTCGGCGGAGGTTTGCTCCCCGCTGGGATCCTTTTCACTTTCAGATGTTTCTCTCTGTGGCCACTGTGTCGCAGGGCCTTCCACCTCGGTGCCGTACCCTTGCCAGTTGGCTGCGTTACCGGCGCTGAGCGGGCTGTCAGCAGGGACGTGGCACGGCAACAAGCCTCAGAACAGTTTACTCAGAGGCGGCTGAAAGGCCTGAAAATGATCAACGGCACCACCTGCTTCGCCCACGTGCGACGGCGCTCAGTGGAAACATCTGCTTTTCACGTCTCCCTGTTTGTGTTGTAGTATTTGTGTCTTTGTTATTGATGTTTTCTCCACTCAGTGTGTTTCTACGAGTGTGTGCGTTGGCGTGTACATGCAGCTACATCCAGGATATTGTGTGTGTGTGTGTGTGTGTGTGTGTGTGAGTGTGACATGGCAGGGTTGTGTTGAATCAGTCCCCTCAGTATAAGGTCAGAGCTTTTGTGTCGGCCGTCATGTGGCCTGAATGCAGATTGACGGGCTGAACCCTGCAGCCTGGCACCCCATTAGAATTCACAGTGTGTGTGTGTGTGTGTGTGTGTGTGTGTGTGTGTGTGAGTCGAGTGCACGGTGGTGGGTTCGTTGCAGGCTCTCTGTGAATGAAACTTCTGTGCAACGTTTGGGGTCTGTGTTGTTGTTTGCGCTGCTGTTAGCCTCCACATAATGGGACGTTTTGCTGAAAGCTAGCTGCAGGTACCTCAAGCTCAAGTTTAGTTTGGCTGCTGTGGAGCTTTCAATCACAATAAATGATCTTCATCGGCAGGTGGAGGTTGTGCATTCAAGTGCAGATTTAGTCCAATTCAACACCTGGTTTGGTTTGACAACTTAAGAGATGAATTAACGTTTGTGAAGTTTCAGGCAGCTTTAAGAAAGAAAAAACTGCAAGAAATTTGAATGTAGTTTGGTTGGTGGAGAGCTGATTAGATTGTGAGTTTAAGCATTACTGCGTTCATGTGCTCGAGACAAAGCTGGGATTTCTGGCTTCTACCCTAGTGTTGTGTTCACTGTCCTAAAAAAAACACACAAACATAAACTTTGCTCAGTGTCGTAGATCCAAAGTTTGCTGTTTACATATCCAAGAATTAAGTTTGAACATTTTTTTTTTTTTTACATAATTTAGAGTCAAACGAGGAAAAAAATCTAGTCGAGTCAGTTTTAATTGTGCAGCCCAGAATCTTGAGTTTGAATTTTCAAATTTACACGTCATTGCTGAAATTTCCACGAAAATATTGTCAAAGGAAGCTGTGGCAGCAGTTGTGATGATAATATATCATCGTTTTTCGTGTTAAGACGCAGATTTAAAAAGAATCATTCACTGTTTTTGAAAAAAGAGAAGGAACTTGTTGTCGTTGTACTTAGTCGGAGAAATGCGCTTTACTTCCCCATGTCAGACCAGCGTTGTGTCAAAGCTGGTCTGAGTCAGCGTGTGGGCTGACATATAGAACATAGAGCCAGAGTTTATACACTGTTTAATGAGAAAATGTTACAGATTAGAGCTTTAAAAAGCGTTTTATGAAACTTATTTCAGCCTCAATTGCTTGGTGGAAGTATGTTACACAATCGCAGTCACAGTGTGTTTTATTTATCTGTCTGTTATTCCTCGCTAAACATTTGTCACCAGAAAGAAATCAAAACCTAAATATTTGCCTGATGTGACGTCGAGCCAGTAAGAACAGCTGCTGTGTTTTCTCCCTCGACGCGTCCCTTTATTGTCAATATGGCATGTTTCTTGACTCTCTCCGACCACTTCGCATCGGTACCAGAAAATCTAAAATCGTCTCGGAGTTTATCTCGTCCTGCAGTTCATGAGAGGAATCCACCATCTCCTCATTACCATCTCAGACAATGCGGCCGGTCTTCTGTGACAAATTAATTCCCTCTCGAACCTCAATTAACTGTCCTCCTCGATCTCATTGTAATGCAGCCACTCCCCAACAGCCGCCAGCGCATTCATGTGACACTTGCCTCTTTGATCCCGACAGTTCAGTTTTAGCAGTTTGATCGAATGTGTGTTGACGAATGAACCTGCAAAATCTGCACCTGCGGCTCAGCTTTTAACCTTTTGTTTTCATTTTGTAGGCACTTGTACTTCTTGATTTTCGTGCAGCAGTGTGTGATCTCAGCGCAAAACTGCTGAGTAATGATTCAGAGATTACCTCGTCTTGTGATGGATGAGGTAATGCGAGTGGAGGCTTGTTTTGCCTGCTCTGATCGGCAAGTCTCTGGAGTAATCTTTGATATTTTTGTACAATTCTGTAGCCAGTTCATGGACATTTTTACGATGTCTGGTTTGTATTTTCCTGGTAAAAACCCTAATTCTGTTTCAGTCACGAAATCTCAAGTTCATCTACTGGACTCTGTGTTCTCTTACGCTCTGATTTCCCGCTAACTGTCAATCTCAATTTTTCTGGGTCGCCTCCTATCAGTTCAGGCGGTTCAGGCCTGATGAATGTCTCTAATCTTCTTCACCTGACTGCTGTCAATCAGCTTCTCCGTGTGGTCACAAAAGCAGAAAATGATGTGAGGCTTTTGGTCCACAGTAACAGCCCCTGAAAGCTCTGTAAGCATCTCAAGATAAAGTGCCTAAAATGTAAAACACAGTAGATTAAGGAGGCCGTTGCTTCCAGTCCACAGTGTGCCGAGTCCCATTTCATCACACCATCAATTATCCAGGGGTACTCTCGAGATATTTACATGTCTCCGCTCAAGATCAAAACTTTATCCTTCCTTAATGGGAGCACTGGCTTGGAGAAAGGCACAAAATGAAACCCTGCAAGCCCAATAAATGAAGAGATGAATTGCAAATACATACAGAGCACTTCTGGTATTCATTAGCTGTTGGAAAGTTGCATGGGTAACAGGAGTGGAGAAATCTGTATAAACATGTCTCTAATTGTACTATGAAGGCACTGAAACATGTTGAATTTCAGACTGTGATTTTTGTCCCCAAAGGTTGCCAAACCTTTTAATCAAATGCTGATGGTTCCTAAATAAAAAAGCCATTTGCAGTCCAGCTAATATCATGTAAATGTTTCTTGTGTCTTCATTCTTCCAGTTAGTCGCCGCCTCTGCGCGGCACTGCCTGGCTCCGCAACACGCTCTCGGGCCTCATTGTGAGGATAGTTAGGCTCCATAAGATCTAATTTTTGGGCAAAGACTTTGAACCTTTGTATGTTGCTCTCCTAAGCCCCCACATCCCCCCCAGTCTGTCTCATATTTGGGCTGATTCGGAGGCCAAGTGGCTCTGCACCCAACGCCTTCCTGTCACAGTCCGCAGGATCTTTGCTGCCACCCTGAACTGAGGGGAGGCTGGAGGCCTGTTGTCTTACTTTAAGCTGCACCCCCCCCCCAATACTCAATCCCCTTTGCAACTGTCTGGTCTTCAAGTTGTTGTAACTTGATTTGAATGTCCCCACTTCTTACGGATGTTCAGTTTTTGGTCTTTCAAAATGGAGCTTTAAGAAAAAAAAAATGGCTTAAATTGCTTTGTTTCACAGGTTTTTGTCATGTTACTTTATTAATAATCAAACCCCTCGTATTGTGTTTTTCCTCCTCAGACGACGTGGTGACATCCAAGTCCAGCCTGTTCTTCCTGATCTCCAACGAGGGGAACCAGAACCTGTATGTGACACAGGCCACCCTCTGGCTCTACTTCAAGCTGCTGCCATCCCCTCTGGAGGTGCGTCCACGGCGGAAGGTGACAGTGAAGGTGTACTACCAGGAGCCTGGCCTCGGCAGCAAGTGGAACCTGGTGGAGAAGCGGGTGGAGCTGAAGCGCAGCGGCTGGCACACCTTCATGCTGACTGACGCGGTCCGGTTGGTGTTTGAGAAGGGCGACCGGCGCCAGAACCTGGACGTGCGTTGCGAGGGCTGCGAGGCAGAGGGCGTCGTACCCGTCCTGCTCAACCACAACGATGAGTCCCACCGACCCTTCCTGGTGGTGCAGGCACGGCAGGTGGACAACAAACACCGGATCCGCAAGAGGGGGCTGGAGTGCGACGGCAGCAGCAGCCTGTGCTGCCGCCAGCAGTTCTACATAGACTTCCGGCTCATCGGCTGGAACGACTGGATCATCGCGCCGTCGGGCTACTTTGGGAACTACTGCGAGGGGAAGTGTCCTGCTTACATGGCAGGCGTCCCTGGTTCGGCCTCGTCCTTCCACACAGCGGTGGTGAACCAGTACCGCATGCGGGGGATGAGCCCAGGCTCCATGAACTCCTGCTGCATCCCCACAAAGCTCAGCACCATGTCCATGCTCTACTTTGATGACGAGTACAACATCGTCAAGCGGGACGTTCCCAACATGATCGTGGAGGAGTGTGGCTGTGCTTGAGTATGTTTTTATTCTTGTTTATTTAAGGTGGAACTGAAGAACTTAACTGTAAACAGGTTCACAATATTAAAACAACAACAAAAAAATGGATATAGAAGCAGAATATTTATGGACGATGGAGAAAACATGTGCACACACAACCTCATCCACACATATCGACACACCCTCATGTATGCCCGCACAAAAACTTGTATATATATTTATGTTTGTTGATATATTTCATTATATTCTCTGGTGGAAGACTGTTTCTGTGTAGAAACGATTCATTATCCTTCAAAGGGACATGAAAAGTTCTCTTCCAAATCTTTAAATATCCGCATTAGAAAACAATCAATCTCTGAAGTTTTTCAATAAATATCTCTAAGATAGTGAGGATCTGGTTTGCTAAAGTGTTTCAAGACTTATGTAACCTACTAGCCTTTACAAAGCAGCATCATTTGATGTAATTCTCTGCTATCAGTCAAGTTGTTAGCGTAGGTACCACTCGTTTAGCAGTTTTGGAATTAAACTCTTCATGTGTAGAACATAAAACACCAACCTTGAACGTGAAAATAACATCTCCTGAGGAGGTGTAAGGGAGCCTTACACAAGTCACAAAGAAGGTTGGGGGTGATTCCACTATGCCTCTTATCAAGAGCAGTGTGTGCAAACACGTAGGACAAGCACTAAAAATGTTAATACAACGGTCAAACTTCACCAACGTACAGCACTAAAATCGGCTTCAAGCTGACTTCCAGAAACGGATCTGTAGAGACTTTTCAATAAGGTTTCTGTGACACTGTCACCAAACCGTGAAATAATCCTCCGAACTAAAAGGTCAACTTTCCAAATATGACATTCCTGAAATTCAAAGAAAAATCCAGTGTGGAGGTCTCAAACCATTCACTGTAATGCGATAAGTTATTTTAACTCACAAAAATGTGTTGAAACTGATTATATCCAAAGTTTTAAGTTACACAAACTCAATTTTGTAAGTTAAAAAAAAGCTTTAGAAGCTTTTACTAGTAAATTTAAGTGACACTAATTCCAGTCAGCGCCACTTAAAATAGAGTATTTTTTAAGTTACAAAATTAAGTTAGTTTTACCTGTTTTATTTTAGTTAAATAAAAGTTTTACAGTAACTTGGTGACGTACCCTGTAAAACCAAACAGGTTTTCAAACGATTGTCGTAACTGATTACATCAAACATTTTAAGTAAAACTAACTAAATTTTCTAAGATGAAAAAACTTTCTTGATCAAGTAGCTTTACTAATTTTATAATGACTCAATTTTATCATTTTTATTAAGTATCTATTAGGAATGTTTCAGTAACTGACAATACATTATCAATATTACGTTAAGAGTAAAAACTGCTTCATCAAATTGAGTTTGTGTTACTTAAGATTTTCCCCAGCCCTCAAAATCACACACCAAATTAGTCTGTTCCTTCAATCGAATACTTTGAACCACTCACATTTTTGTGATATGAACTTTACGATTTAGTATTTGAGGTAACAGTATGCCGACATTTGGACAGTAGTCTGCTCTGCTCAGTGCAGTCCATGTACAATCCCAAAGGGGCTACAAGATCTGACGTACCATCTAAAGTCTCGATCTTATTTCGTGAACTTCCACTCCCCCTTAATGGTCTTTGTATCATTAAAGTTTTCCAAGGACTGAGCCATCTTCCACTCCATGGTATGGGGTAGAACAAATACTCTTTGTGACCAGCACATGAAGATGGTAGAATATCAGGAATCTATGGAAGCCCATTTCTGCCAATGTGAAGACAAAAAAAAAGGATTCTGTACGTCATTATAATGAAAAACATTCATCAAAATAACAACTAAGTTTCAAAAACTCATTATTTAGAGAAAGTTAATAACGATTATTTTTATCCTGTCACATTGGCGGAAATGGGCTTTCAAAGAAATCACCTCACATTTATCTGTAAAGTAAGTAAAACCCTCCCTTCACCTTCCTCGGCTCCTCCTCGAAGGGGACCGCTTACTTTCCTTCCAAAATCAGACAAATATCTCTCTCATTTCAGTCAGTGAAAAGTTGCCATATTGCTCAGTTTAGTGACGGTGCAGCTTCGCACTCCCCAACGCACACTTTGATAGCACTTGCAGATTGAAATGCCTTTAACGAGCCCTATGTGGCACACACCAACGCCCACAGTCCTTCTAAAAGAAATAAGTGCCGCATGAGCTATGCAATGTATAGTATTTACCCATATACCAGACAAGCTGAACTAAAGCTCTTCTGACAAACTATCACAAATACTTGAATCGTAAGTGTGGCGAGCGGCAGCAGGCTGGGCTTTGGGCAGGAGGCAGAAGAAAATGCCGACTGAAAACGTGTTTCTGGTAGTAGACGGTGAAGTCTTTTGTGAGAGTTTATTGTGAAAACCTGGTGAATGGTGTGGGTTTTTCAAAAGATTATTTCATCTTCCTCTTTGTAATATAAAAAGAGGCTAACTGGGGCTAACTTTGACCCAAATTTAATGAATTTTGGTGTCTAAATGAATGCGTCCCAGTGGAGTTCCCATCACGGCCTCTTCGGCACCGAAACACACTTTGAGACACAGTTTCTAGTCACTTTGACATCACTTTGATATTTTCAGGTTAAACGTTTCAGCAGCCTGTTATTTCACCAGTCTCATTTACCGGCTTTACCACTTCTACACATGTAAGAGAAATACCTGAGCTGTCAGGTGCCGCTCATTATCTCAGCTCTTCCTGCCTTCTGTCCGACGCTCGACCTCCACTCTGCCTGCCACTGTAATCTTTCGCTTGTTCTTCAAAGCGAACCGTTGCACTGAGGAGCTAGAAATAAGAGGAAAAAAAAAAATGAACTAAATAGAAACTGCCATTGAAAAATAAATTAAAAAAAGTTATTTTTATAGAAGCAAAATTGAGCTCTGTTCAAATGTATTATACCTAATCATGGAACCAAAGAGGCCAAGAGGTTTAGCTATTGAAAGATGGCAAAGATGCCGTCGTGTTTTTGTTGTTGTAAATGACTTTGTGACAGTTAAAGAGGCCTAAACACTGTATCAGGGTATAATATCACTCCATAATCAGCTTAATCTCTTTTCTATTTTGTACCTAGACATGGAATATTTCATATTTTTTCATCAAATTACTTAAATATTCCTAGTTTTCTTTCTTCTTTTTGTTAGCTCTCGTTACAGAATCATTTAGAGTAAAAGCACATGCCATCTGATCCCTGTACAGTCGGTGTAACATATGAATATGCTTTTGAAATATTTTGTTCTTTGTAATTGTTGAAAAAATAAATTTCTTATTACCAATTGTATGGAGTTGTTGTTGTGTCCTGAGACTTGAGAGCAGTTATTGGGAATCAGTTCAGCTGCAAGAACATTATCTGACCTTCCTGTTTGGATGAAAACATTTATAAAACATTGTCTTCTCCCACTGAAAGAGTGCCGCTACAACAGAGGCTGAGCCCGTAAAGTTTGTACAGAATACACTGTATCTATTGATTATATAGATCCTGTATTGACAGTCAGATTGTGGACATATGACGGCCTTTAGCTCGTGTTTCTAGAGTTACGTGTTGTTACAAACATGTTAGGAATTGTTAAAATGTGATATTTCTTAAAGGGAGTTTGGTGCAGGGAGCTTTTAGTTGGATTCAAACTGCTAATATGGATCATTGTTAACGTTTTGGCACCACGACAGAAACATTAAGGTATGATAAGGTTGTCTGACATTAACGGCTGTTAATTATTGGATTGATTAACAGTTTATTAATGTGTGTATTGATTACTGATGCAGGCTCTTACAGCAAAATGGAGTAGTTTGCTGACCTTTGTGTCACTCACTGCTGAAAGTACAGAACACAATGAATAACTAATATTTTTTATATGTAATAGAGCAATAAACTGAGCTTCATAGTGTAAAAGCAGCCTTATTGGTCATAAATGAAAAAAATTTCATGTTTTAATTATAAATAGGTGCCCAGCCCTGTTAAGCTCACTTCCATGTCAAGGTTTTATAAATAACTACTTATTTGTGGTTTTATGAACTGAGTAATTGTATGACGTCTGTTACGACACACTGAAGCTGTTGTTGTTGCTGCTTCTTGACCTCTTCTTCGGAAAAACCTCAAAGAGCAATTACACTGGGCGGCTGTTGGTTTGTTGACGCGGAAACCCACAAAAATGATCAGTGGAGAAGCTGACATCAGAGGGTTTTTCCCAGTTGAGTTGTCTCATTACGATGCCATCAGCACCAGATTTAAGCCCTAGGTGAGTAAGTACAGTTTATATTCTTATACAGAATATGAGCATTATAATGCTGTATAGCGCTGGATTTTTGTTTTTATTGCAGTTTATTAATTATCATATATGCAATTATGAAAATTATTGGCTACCATTTTAATAATAAGTTGAGTAAATTGAACTTAAGTGGTAACATTTGGATAAAGATGCATTTAAGTGACTTTATTCAGATAAATTCTGTTCACACATTTTAAATAAGTATGGAGAAATGCTGCATATGAGTCTTCAATTAACTGAATGGAATTAGCACATTTAACTTAATAAACCAAAGTTACCTTAACAATAAATACTTGAGTTACTTCGACTCAAATATCCATAATGCTAAATTGTTTGAGTTAAACAGTTTAAGGCAGTTTGAATTGAACTAACTCATCAGGTTTTACAGTGTAACCATTAACTACTTGCTTATTAGCATGAATATTAGTAGCATATTGGCTCTTTATTATAAAGCACTTATTAATGGCTTATTCTGCACCACCTATTAGGTCATTACCTCGAGTTCTCCTTCAATAAACTAAAAAGTAATTCAGTGAACCTATTGGCACCATTTAAATAAGTGTATGGTTTAATAATAACTATACAAAATGTGTATAAATCAATCTAAATGAAGTCTTTATAACTGTTAAACGTTTTTTCAACTTGAATTTAAACCTTTCACAACATGTTTAAATTTAAAATAACAGTTTTAATGTTTAAGTGGTGAGAATAAGGAACATATTTTGAGTTACTTGGACGAGTAACACTTGGGCTTGGGGAGTAACAGATTACATGTAACTGAGGTGAATAAGGGAAAAACTAAAGGTAAAAAACACATTACATAATCAGATTACAGTTACATTTAGGGATTATTTAGCAGGTTTACAATTTTAAAATACATCAGTTTTTCTTTAAAAACACATTTTTGATAAAAATCAAAAAATCGAATCTAAAAAATTATTTTCCATTTGTTTCTGTTTCCATGTTCTTTTCTACGGTCATATTTTTTCTTTTCTCTTGTTTTTATTTGCATATTTGGTGTTGAGGAAAGTAATCAAGTTACTTTAATACTGGGACACTTGGATTAAGTTACTGTCTACATTTTCAAACAGGTAATTAGTAACTATCGGATTAAAATAACCCTCCCAACCCTCCTTGTAGTTCTGTGTTTTTGTTTTTTTACATAATATTAAGCAAAGCATAATAAAATAATAATTCATGTGCAACAACGTCCTTAGTTACTATCAATAAGCAGTAAATAGGAGGTTATTGAGGGAAAACTCTAGGTAATGGCTTAATAGGTCACACAGAATAAGTGCTTTATGATAAAGAGCCAATGTGCTTTTTTTGTCACATATTTATCATTCTGTTCAATTGTAAGCCATTTTCGTAGCATTATTATGGAAAACATGACAACCAATATCAACATAATTTATTTGCTAAGGGATATAAATGTAAATCAGAGGAGGAAATAGCTTTTTCTCATTGAGTTCCCCTTCTTGTGAACACGTCAGCGGCTGGTGGACTTGTTTCCTCTGGGCTGGGAGTAAGAACGGACCGATCTACGGAGCTCTGTGTGCGCATTCAGGCATACAAAGGCTCTTAACAGGCCTAATTATACCTAAGCAAATCTCAGCAGGACTTCAAGGGTCAAGTGTTTGACCTCTGGGGTCACACCCTCTTCATGATTGGGACGCAATCCACTACAACCAGTGCAACGCTAGCAATTAGCATTTAAGGAAAACTACGGCCACTGCCAAACCAGAAGTCAGACAGAAAGGTAAAGAAATATCTTAAACCACTCAGAGGACCACGTCCATCAAAAGTATAATAACCCCCCAAAAATAATCTGCCAGCTTCAGGCGAAGTCATGACAAACGTTGTTAAGTGGTGAGAAATGATAGGTTTGAGAAAGAAAACAATCGGCCCTTAATCTGACAGGTGATGAACGGAGGAGTCGGCGCTGACATCGACTGCTGCCGCTCAGGAATGAAACAAAAGTGTGACAGATAAATGTTTTTCTCTCACTTTAAGATGTTTGGGATGATTTTGTACCTTCAGGATGAATTGTAAGAACTTTGGTGACGACGTTTACATCAGCCTCTTGTGTTTAATGCTAATAAGTGAATGTTACAATAAAATAAAATAACTCGTACAAATATAGTAATGTTTTATAATGGAATTATAGTTTTTAGCTTTAATTTTACATAAATAAAATGTTGGAAGAAATCCAATTTTGGGGGCTCGTTAATTAAAGATATTTACACTGTAAAGGCAATTAAATGAGCTATAAATACAGGCTGCTAAAATAGAAATAATCAGGATTAAATTTACAGCAGAGTGCTTTTCTTATTTTAATGTGAATGTTAAAAGTTATAGAAGTGTAATAAAAGTCATTATCTGTGAGATTACAGTAATTATTGCTGTTTACACTGATAACAACTGTATTTGGACAGTTTAGCAATGCTTATACACTGATAAACAACATTTATTCAACACTAAATATGTAAATACACAGGCTATTATGGTAATTGTATTAATATTTCCAAGTATTTAAAAAAATACAGAAACAATCTGTAAAATAAATGTGAAAAAAACGTGTAAACTTACCTTTTCTTTTTTTCACAATATGTGAACCATAGACTGAATAAATAGAAATGTAACCTGAAATATTTTAATTATAGAAAATTTATTTAGTTATTTTACAATAATTCTTTGGTGCCCAGCTGCTAGAATAATAGTTTTTTAACTCTCTGTGGTGGTTGTACTTTCATAAGAACAGACAACTCTTCAAAACAAACAAATCCAGACATTCTTCAGCACGAATCCAAAAGGCCATAAGATGTTTTGTCAAAGCAGCGAGCGTGCAGAGGAATAAGAGTCAATTATAGAGCGGAGTTTGTGGCGATGTCAGGTGACACACGAGAGCTGTTTTATCATGTTGCTCGACATTCGCAGGTCCACCGCAAAACACAGGAATGTTAATGAACATAGCGCCCTGGGGGCAGCGCTTCCTGACACACGCTTACTTCAAGTGAACACAATGTCATGAAGTTTGGCAGGCCCAAACAGTTTATGTGTTTTGACAGAGCTCTGACACACGAGCGGGACTGAATGTGCTTTTTCTGTTGATTTATGGCAACTGGGAGGCAGATCTAATTTGTTTTAGCACTGGGAGAGGGTTGTGAATCATCAGTCATACGTCTTACAGTGTGAGACAAGGTACAGTACCTGTCACCTGGAGGGAAGGCTTGGAAACAGGAGATCTCGTCTCTAATTCCCCTCTTCAAACCAGATCTGGATCGCACATGGTCTGCAGACGGGGGTTTAAAAATAACAACACAGAAGATAATTTAGTAAACAACAGGTGAGCTGACTTATATTGAATGAATGTCAATCAAGTAATTGATGTCAAATCAAAGTAAATTTGGAAGTAATTTCTTTTACAAAACACAAACAATTCTGGATTGGATGAACTGCCTATCACAGGCAACAAACTATATAATGTATAACCTTTACCTTTTCCATCGAGGAAAAAAAAGCCTTTCACTTTAGAAATACTCTCCAGTTCTGGCATAACCGATGCTACGCTAACCTCTTTACGCTATCCACCATTGTTGTTTTGGAGCAAGCAGTCACTTCTCACACACATCTTGCATTAAACTTTAGCTGTGCAGCTGCCAGAACAGTTCCTCAAAGGGACGCTGATTGGTTCGTAACGTAAGATACCTTCCAGGTATGTTCAGACTTGCTGTGTACACACTCTCGATTCAGTCAGTCGATTAATGATTACAGGTGCCTAAGAAAACCTCTGAGACGCACCAACGCAGTGACATTAATGTCAGCTGCATACACGAGGCCTCTCCGTCCACATCAGCCCAAAACTGAAGCGCTCCCAGAGGGAACTGTGGAATTTCAAGGCCGCACACAGATATATTGATATCAAAAAGTCATTTTCATTCACCGGAGTAGCATTCAAGATGTGGAAAAATCAAATTTCCCAAACGCTGCATGTCCCTTTGGAAAAACAGTCAGT